ATTGCCCAACCTTCCTTCCGAGGAGTGGCTGGTGGGTTTGAACCGCCAGCCGTCTGGTTAGCAGGCAAGTGTCTTAGCCACTATGCTACCAGAGCTCCATAGTGAGTGATATTTATTTGCCTTCAAAAGACTGTTGTAATTCCAATTGGCCTATAAAAGGAAATTTTTCTTATGTCAAACCCGAGGTTTCTATCCAGTTACTATGCAGTGACCCTTTGAAGTCGAAGCCCAGTTTGCTTTGTGCTTTTATAATATGGACTATTCAGGTAATTTTATTTCTCGGGATGATCCTTAAGAGAATGAACTATTATAAAATGCTTAATTTTTTTCCATCTGCATTTAAGAAACTAGTCCCAAAGTTACAAATAGAAAGTTCCTGAATTCTTGTAGTAAGTGTATACCTGGACAAAGCATATCAATTGCGCTGCATCATGTTCCTCTGTGCTCAGCTTTTCTTGCTTTTTACTTTTTAGCTGCTGTGCTGAAATATGAAAACAATGTCATGAATATTAGGCAGTTTAACTGTTCTCCACACCCTTACTGGCTTCCAAACTTTATGGATGTTTTCACGTGGTCTTTGCCTTTTGTTGGGGAGAAAGGTAAGAGAAATAAAGCATCTAGATTACATTTGCCTTAAGGAATGACTGAATGCCACTTTATATTTACAGGTAACTCCCCTGATGATTCAGAAATGAAGTTACCAGCAATGTTTTCTAATTTTGTTTTTTTCCTACAAAGATTTTTAAATGATACTTAATTGACTCTTAAATTATAGTTATAGTAGATCATGCTTTCTTATTCTAAATATTAATTTAAAATAGCTGCCCTACTATGATCAATATCTTTTAAAAAAAACATAGTCACTATGATTTTCCCTCAGTGATTTCTTCAGTGCTGAAGAGATTAAGCAGGAAATACTGTCATTAGAATTTTATTTGTGAAACTACACAAATCAGCTATGCAAATACAAAGTAAACTTGTTGGACATAGTTAACTTCTTGTTGCACTACTTAACTTCTTCGTAAAATGGGAAAAAATATTTTCATGCACATAGCAGTGAGGAAAAGGTTAAGCAACGATCTAATAAAATCAAGTTAATTGTGCACAGGCATACCTCGGAGACATTGTAGGCTCAGTTCCAGACCACCACAATAAAGCAAATATCACAATAAAGTGAGTCACATGATTTTTTTGGCTTCCCTGTGCTTATGAAAATTACATTGACACTATACTACAGTCTTATTAAGAAGGAGCTCTGGTAGCACTGTGGTTAAGGCATTGGACTGCTAACTGAAACGTCAGCAGTTCGAAACCCCCAGCCGTTCTGTGGTAGAAAGAGGAAGCAGTCTGCTTCTGTAAAGATTTATAGCCTCGGAAATGCTACGGGGATTGCTATGAGTCAGAATCAACTCGATGGCTTTGGGTTTGGGTTTGAGTTGTAGTGTGTTAAATGTGCAATGGCATTATTGAAAAGTTTGAAATATTGTAAAAATTACCAAGATGTGAAGAGAAGGGCAGTGTACCAAATGTGAGTGATCAACATGGTGACATTGAGAAAGAGGAAAACAGAAGTACATGGGAGGTGCAGACAACAAAAATGAACCCTTTTGCACATACAGTATTCTGTTGTCAGTGAAGGCAAACACAGGTATTTGGGTGGATAGATGGGTCGACAGGCTCAACTATTAGGTATGTCTGTGCAGCAGGGAGTGTACCTAAGACCATGTATAGGGTTGGCAGACAATGGTTCTACAAGTGTATTTGTATGTTCTGGAAGAATTCCCAGGGGTATAGTAGAGCTGACAAGGGACAAGGTTGTAGTCACTTCTTGGTCACAGCCAGCTACCCAGAGGGAGAAAGTAGTTGAACCTCTGGGCTCAGAACCATAGTCGCAGGGGACATCAAGCTCAATTGGCATAACATACTGCACAAAACATTGTTATACCTCCTACTTTGGCGAGTAGCATCTGGAATCTTAAAAGCTTGCAAGCATCCATCTAGATACAATGATGGGTCTCTCCTTGTCCAGAGCAAAGAAGAATGAAGAAAACCAAAGATTCATGGAAACAATTAGTCCTAACAACTGGTACACCATGTGATCTGTAGCCTATACAACTAGGAGACCAGAAGAACTAGATGGAGCCCAGCTACCGCTGTCAACCACTTGGAAGGGGATCTATGTAGGAGATCCTGGATAGAGAGGGAGAACAAGGTGGAACAAAATTCAAAATGATTTGGGGAAAAAAAGGGGGGTGGGGGACCAGGTTTGCTGGTCTAATAGAGCCTGGTGGAACCACTGAGACTATGGCCCCTAGCTGCTCTTCAGGTCTGGAATTGAACCCACACCTGTGGCTTCCACCCAAACAAAAGACAGGCATAAGAGTTGAACATGTACCTGAGGTAGATACACTCCTTGGAGAGATCAATCATGGGAGGAAAAAGAGCTGCTTATGCACAGGGAGACAGCTCAGGGGGCAGGAGTGCATGGAGGCATGGACACAAGGAAGAGGTAACTATTGGGAGGAAGTGGGAGGGGAGCTGTTGCATTGTGGTAAATTGTAGTCAATGTCATGAGATAATGTGTGTGTGAACTGCTGTATGGAAAGTGAATTTGCTCTGTAAAGTTTCACCCAAATCACAATTAAAAAAAAAAAAAAAAAATTACCAAGATGTGACAGAGACACAAAATGAGCACATGCTATTGGAAAATGGCACCAATAGACTTGTTCAATGCAGAGTTGCCACAAACCTTCAGTTTATAAAAATAAAACACAGTATCTGTGAAGTGCAATAAAACGAGTTATGCCTGTGGTAGAATCCTAAAAGACTCCAGACTTTCACTAGAGCAAGAAAGCTGCTTATTCTGTATAAACCTGAAGATTTATATTTAATGCTCCTTTATATACTAATTTTAATAATATAATGGCAAATCATTATTTATATCAATTTAACATATATATTTAATTAGATATCAGTATTATTTTAGAAAAAGTGTTTTGTTAATTTTGTAAATTTTGGCTTATTTTGTCTTATCGTATAGTCACAGAGATGCTGGTTAACATTCTCAACATATGCTCTGATGATGAACTAATTTCCGATGATGAATCGCTAGAAGGTAAACTTGCCTTTTCCTCATTTAGACTAGAAATTAAGAAGTTTTGGTTTTGGATTGTATTTTGAACAATTTTGTCTTATTAGAAAAGAATTGAGTTCATTGTAAAAATAAATAAATAAAGTTTGAAGGATACAGAAAACCATTAATAAAAAAAGTCACTGATAATCCCAACATCTCACAGATATCCATTGTTAACATTTTGATGTATGCTGTGTTAGCTGTGTTTTATCTTTGAATATATATATTTTTTTTTTCCTATCTTTTTGGCAACTATGAGGTCATAATATACTGTACCATACTCTTCGTGCAACAATATCATGAGCACTTACTGTTTTTCTTTTTTTATAGATTAGTTTTTAATGGTTATATAGACATCCTTATCTATCATTATTTATTTAACTAATCCCTGCTATTGGATGTTGGATTTATTTCAACTTTTTCTTTTTAAAAACCCTACAGTTTTTTAAATACTTATAGATAAATCTTTGCACGTTCAGTCAACAACCAATACTTATTACATGTCTGATATGTGCCAGCCACTGTTTTAGGTACTGAGGATTTATCAGAGAACATGAAAAATGTCCTTTCTTTCTCAGTAAACTCATATTCTAGTGGGGGAATGGGGTGAGGGATGACATGCAATATAACTATAAGGCAGAAGGTGATATATACTATGAAAGAAAGTACATAAATATAAGGAGATCAAGAATAATATTTCCTTAGCTATTTCCATAGGATAAATTTCTAGGACTTGAATATCTGGATCAATTTGTACTTAAAATTTTAAGTCTGATGCAAATAGGTTCTAGAAAGATTATCAGTTTACATTTTACGTATAAGGTACTCAGTTCATAGTGCTCTCTCCAGCACTATTTATTACAATTGTTATAGTCTGGTGTTTTTTAAATATTAATTTGTATTTTTATGTTGACTAATGAACATTTTTTGCCTGTGTTTATTGGCCATTTTTATTTCTCTTTTGCAAATTGCCTATGCATATCTTTTGCCCACTTTTTTACTGGACTCTGCGTTTTTTTTCCCTTACTGATCTGTGAAGAATCTTTCTATAGTAACATTTTGTCGTATGTGTAAACAAGTACATTTTTCCTAGTATCTTGTGGGAGATTTGATTTTAAAAGTAGGTCCTAACTTGTCTAAGAATGTAGGAGGTTCTGGAAAGATCCTGGCACCTGAGCACAAACCTTTGACTGTCTATTTTCTCCAAGCTCTCTGCTAAGGTAATCCACTCAGCTGTTAGGACAACCATCTACGTAGTGGAGAAAGCTTAATTTAGTTTGGGAAGCTGGAGATGCCTCAATGAACTCCCCAAACTCCATACATATTAGTCCCTGCCTTCAGAACATAGCAGCAATCTTATCTCCTTGTGGTATTCAATGTTGATTATACCTAAATGGAACTTCTTTCTCCTCCTGTTGTCCACTAAATTGAGAAACTCAAAGTAACTAAGTGGTGATCCTAAATTTAAGTTTAGTACAACAGTTACAGTGAAGATACAGAGCAGACAGAGTATAGCTTGCGAGTACCTTTGTTTGTGGAATAGGAAATCACTGCAAGATCACTGCAGTTATTCTTGAGGAAATAGTGCAGGCAAATGAAAATAAAATAAAGAATTTAAGTTCAGAGAAGGTGAAACATGTAAGAAATGAATTCATAAAAATTTACAGTCAGATCTAACTGGAAGTTGAAATGATTATAAACTCTATTACATGTATTAAAATAGAAATCTTAATTATCAGAAGGATATGCTTGTAAAAGTATGCCAGAAATGGAATATGAGAATATTTATTAAAATATTATCTGTAATTGCAAAAGGTTCAAAACAATCTATATGTCCTTAGTGGGCTTGCTAGATGAATGGATTATGATTTATCAATAGGATAGATACTTTTTTCCTCTATCTGTAATATTATTTCCTTTATGCATGCCTCCTTTCTCCCTCTTCTAGTTAATTCCTCATCAGCTTCTTGTTACTTCTTCATGGAAGACATTTCTGACCTCCCAGACTGAATTCAAAACCTTGTTATGCTCTCGTTACCCATCTGCCTCTCCCTAATATTCATTAAAGTTGCAATTTTACATTTATTTATATCATTACATGATTAATATGTCTTACTCCCACTCATCTGTAAACTCTCAGAGTGCTTGGGCAATATAATTTTTGACTCACCATTATAGTCCTAAAACCAAGTATAGTGCAGTGAACACAGTATGCATTTGTTGAGTTATATTTCATTGAATATATGGAGTGTAACTTTTTTTTTTTTAAGAGAAGAATGAAGTAGGGCTATAGGAGCTGATAAGGAAAATAGTTAATCTTGTTAAGTGAATAGAATTCTCTATTTCCATTTTTTTAAAACTGTGTGGATATACACTGATACATGCATTTTTTTTTCCTGAAAGGAAATGAGTAAGGGCCTTTCCAGTTAAAATGTTGAATTGAGTACACTTCTAATCCCCTTCCCTCCTGAAATCACACTAAAACCATAATAAAATAATTTTTAAATGATATCAGCTATAGATTTCCACTTTAGTAATGACAGACAGATTAGATATTTTACATCAAACCTGATTTTTAAGACAACTAGAAAACCTAGAGAAAAAAATATAAGTATACTTTGATAGGATCAGAGAGCTAGCAAAATTGAAGAACTGCCAGGTAGAGACCAAAAAAAAAAAAAAAAAAAAGGCAGGAATCCAGAGAGGTAATACCAACATTTGGGAACATTTCTCTTCCAGGGGGATTCATGAATTTCAAAAGAGGGGGCTAATAGATTGAGCAGCCCTCTTGATAGCCTTGTGTGGCTAATCTAAAATAGTTGGAGTTTAGGGCTTGCCAAGCATGGTGTGAGTTCTGGTAAGCTTCTGTTGATTGGGGACTCCAAAAATTTGCATCTATGTATAGAATAAGGGTAAGCTGGAAGTAGAACAACCCTTGAAGGGACTATAGCCTACCTTAAAATTATTTCAATTGAAATAAGATGGTGCCAGGTACCTGGAAAAAACCAGACCTCTCTAGACTAAGATAACATCATGTACTCATTGCCATCAAGTCAGATCTGACTCATAGCAACCCCTCCTTGGGTTTCTGAGGCAGTATCACTACGGAAGTAGATTGCCCCATCTTCCTTCCGAGGAGTGGCTGGTGGGTTTGAACCACCAGCTTTCTAGTTAGCAGTTAGATGCCTTAGGCACAATGCTACCAGAGCTCCCAACATCATGTAGGATCTTAAATTATTTCTACAAATGGTCTTTCAAGTATAGTATCTTACTCAAAACCAAAAAAATAATTAGGCATCTGAGGTGGCATAGCATATGAGTGAGAACCAGCATAAATAGCAAAAAGAAAAACAGATATCCCACCCCCAGGTTCTCTGGACAATGGCATTATTAGACCAAATTTTTAAATAACTATATGATGAAAAATTTAAATAACAAAACAAAAAACCTATGCTTACTATAAAAGTTTAGATTGAGAATTTTGACAGAGAACTGTGAACTGTAAAAGAGGATGTAGCAAATTTGATAAAGCATGAAAAAGAAGTCCTAGAACTGGAAAATAAATTAAGAACTCAATAGGTAAATTAAACAACAGATTCAATAATTAAGTTAAAGTGAGAATAAGTGAACTGGAAAATAAATCATAAAAAAACTATCTAGAATGAGCCATGAAGAGAAAAAAGAAAAGACCGAAAAAAAGAGAAAAGGTATAAAAGACATAGAGGACATACTGAATAGGCCTAGTATATGTGTTTGAGTCCCAGAGAAGGGAAAGAATGGGATAGGAGCAGTATTTGAAGAGACGGTAACTCCTAACTAACTCACTGCTATTGAGTTGATTCCAACTCATAGCAATCGCCATTTGGTTTCCAAGGCTGTAAATCTTTACGGAGGTAGATTGCCCCATCCTCCTCCTATGGGGTGGCTGGGGGCTTTGAACCTCTGACCTACTGGTTAGCAGCCAAATGCCGTATCCACTTCACCACCAGAGCTGAAGAGATAATACATGGGAATTTTCCAAAATTGAGAAGACACTAAGCCACAGACTGAAGAAATCCTGTAAATCCAAAGCAGCATGATATAAAGAAAACAGTATCTGAAACAATACCTAAGCACATCACAATAAAAGTACTTAAAAACAAAGGAAAAAAATCTTAAAGCAGCCAGGGAAATAAAAAGAAATTACCTTCTGGGGTATAGTAGATTATATAGTGTGACTTTTCTAGCCGTAAGTCTTTGTCAGCTCCGTGGTGGAATTTGCCATGAGCAACTGAGTAGCTCCTGATTGTTAAAGTTATCCACCTGGGGTATTTCTGGTGGGAGCACCAAGGAGTAATCTTCTGGGAAGTTCTATATCTCTCAGGTGTATAGAATTCTGATGTTGGGATTGGGTGGTTTGGCCACTCTGCCAGGCTCAAAAGGAGCTCTCCTAGAGGCAGAAGGAGTCTCTCTGACTGCTGGCTGAGAAAGACATGCTGCTGAGAGAAACATGCTCCTGAGAGACATGCATTGCTGAGAGAGAGATGTGAGAGACGCACGCGGCTGAGACAGAGACTGCTGGTTGCTAAGTGAGATGGTTGGCTGCGAGAGACTGAGTGCATTTTTTAACTTGAATTGTAGCCTGTTGCTTCTCTGATAAACCCCATAATCTGTGAGTTCTTTATGGCCACTGCTGTGAATTATAAAACCCAGCAGGAGGTGTTGGGTACTGTAGGAAGAATGGTTGGTGTCAGGATTGGTGAAAGGGCTGGAGGGAGGCAGCATGTCTGGTCTCCCAGGGATACTGATGATGACTCTGTCTTCCTCTTGTGGGGTTAGAGTAGGTCAGAAGATGTGGCCTCCTTGCCCCCTTGGCACCTTCAAATAAGCAGAATTAAACTGACAGATTATAATTGGAAACAGTAGAAGCCAAAAGACAATGGAATAACATATAGGTTCCCCCCCATTATCTGAAATTAGCCAGAATAGAGTGCTTCCTTGGA